CCATCTGGAGTTCTACTATTAGTCTGATGTAAACCATAGTAAAAGTCTATCTTTCTCTTTCTCTTCTGTTCATTTCTGCTCTCTTTCTCTGTTCTCTCTCACTTACTGTATTGTTTGATGCACATTGAGGTTTGGTCCCACTGGGGGCGCTATTAGCTCGTAGAGCGACCAGAATCCGCCTCGATCCAACCAGCCAGAACACAAAATGACCAGCATGAATGAACCCAGTCTGAAGTTTTGTGTGAATATGCAGTCCATGTGTACGTATATGTGATTATTAAAGTGTGTGTGTGTTGACGTGTAGAATATGTGCCCAAGCAAACACACACCACACACATAGCCCACCGTAGTTGATAGCTCGTGCTCGGCGGAGGGGTATTAGTTACAGGATTGAGAAATTATTTGATTATAAAATAGCGTTGACTGTGTGTTCTTAGGCAACTCGTGCCAGCTCCCATATGTGTGTGCCAGCAGGCCAACCCCAGTAGTTTGTGTGTGTGTGTGTGAGTGTGTGTATGAGTAGTGGGTGGATGTATGAGTCTGTGTATTAGAAACAGGAAAGGGAAAAAAGGGAGTGAGGGTGAGATTAAGCAATTCTGTGTGCATGCATTTATATATATATATATATATTTATATATATATGAGTGCATACTTGATGCCTGTGTGTGTGTCTGTGTCTGTCTGTGTGTGTGTGTGTGTGTGTGTGCGCATTCCTGAAGGGACCCTGAGTGGATCAAAGCTACTGACACCCCAGGCAGTGTCCTCCTGAGGGAGCCAGCTGTCAGATCTGGGATCAGAGATCAGCAGCGTCTGTCCTCTCTGCTCTTCGCTCTCTGTGGGGTCTGTCACAGCAAGTTAGCACTTAGCCAGAGGCACCGATCAACAATCAGATTAGACTCTCCTGAAATAATAGCTGTGACGACTGACCGTGGGGATTGGACCATCCAAAGAAAGAGAAGTTATAGAAGGAGTGCAGTTCTGTCTTATCTTTATTAAAGGAAGACAGATTATCTGAAGATTTTGATCAACTCCTTCATAATAACTTCTAATCTTTCTATCACCTACTCTGACACTTGATATTTCCTGGAAAACTCACCTTGGTGTCAGAAGCTACGGTGGCTGAAAAACATGTGAACGCCCCTATCCCTAGCCAGTGTTTGGTTTGTCCCTTGTGGCTACTGTAGAAACATGGCGGTCCAACATGGCTGACTCCATGCAAGGCGACCAACGGTGTCTGTAGATATAAAAGCCTCATTATAAGGTAACAAAAACATTATATTTCATTTATGCCAATAGATCCTTCTAAATGTTACACACTGGACCTTTAATGTGGATTTTAATAGGGTGATTTCAGTGTTTCCAATTTGCTTATTTCTTTTTGAAAACATAAAATTTAAGCTAAATATTCCCTTGTTTTTATGCAATTCTGTCACTTTGGGATAATTAACGTATCTGGCAATTTGTAAATTGTTGCTACTTGTTCTCCAACAAAATATCCACTCATCATAACTACAGCCTTACTAAAGTTTTTTAAGGTTAGGCACTCACAGCATTTGGTTAAGGTTAGGTAAAGACTGTGGTCTTAGTTTAAATCAGAGGAGGTCCACAGTGACATGGAGCGTAAGATACGATGTGTTTACTGTCCTGACCTTTCACTGAAAACAGTCTTTCCCCAGACCTTAAGTGCTTTTACTGCTTAAACCTAACCACACGTGGGACTCTGGTGGGACTCAAAATAATGTATTCCAGGAAGCAGTAACGTTGCTGACCACAACGTAGTAGAGTGCTGCAAGCATGACGTATTTTTGTAGGCCTGCCTGGAAGTTAGCATTGCCCTGGTTCCCTCAACAAAAAGCCAATGAGATTTTTCCATTTGATTTTGAAACTGTTATCATTTTTGAAGCATAAATGCAATCGCCAGAAATAAAAAGCTACTGTTAGGTTGTAAACAAACTACACCATGGTCACAAGACTTCAACGTTACCACCACTAAACTTCCAACTTGTAACTAAATTGTGTCATTAAAAGTGTAATTTAAAGTTTGAATAGTTTGCAAGAGCACAAGTATAAAGACAACGAGGCTGTAAAGGCGGATTAGTGAGTAGTTAAGTCTGCGTGTTCAGTGTGCTGACATTTTATGTCATCGACAACCTCTGTAGCCTCATTTAGCCACCTGTAAGCAACCGTCTTTTTAAATAAAAAAAACTGATGTAAGATGTAAAGCTTAAAAATTCACAGGTGGGGTATTTACTGATGTATTTTATGTCATAGAACAAAACATGAAAATCTCTGAGGCTTGTATTAACCACAGACCTTATTTCAGGCATCTATCCAAAAAACCCACTGACTTCAAGGAGAGGGAACCAAAGGTGCAGAAATGCTAACTTACTTCCGGGTTTTATGACTCTAAGATAGTTTGTAGGAGACATGGTTGTTTTATGTGGTGAAACACAGTCCCCAGTTTGCATGTTATGCTAAATTTTAAGCAAACCGTTTCAGTAATAAGTTTTATTTTCTCTACCAAATGAGTTTGCGTAACTCAGGTGTTAGTTTAAAACATTCTCACACTGTCTCATGTTTCTTCATCTGTCGAATTTCTTTTTAGAGATGTTTCAGTGTTTCCAGATCTCCGCCATTAACTTGGGTAGTGCAATGTTGTTATTACTGATAGCAATGACGGCTAAAACTACAAAAATAAGACCCAGATTGTAAAAGAAAACAAATAAAACAGAATTATCCTTTAATACCATCCATGTACTGTTTCTTGACCTTGAGCACATGGTATAAAGACTGTGAGAAACTGTGTGCGAGGGCTTTGAACATACACAGTTTTAGGCGAACTGACAATTGGCAAAGAAATGTTAATATAAGCAAGATGATGCATTACAGATCTGCCATATAAAACACAGTACCGGTGGTAAAATTACTCAGCCCAATTGCATTGGCCATTGGTGTATGTAATGGTGTCAGGAGTGTACGCACCCCTGACTGCATGCCAGGGCTCTGGTCAGCCCACCCGTTGTAGACGTGCTGCCAACTCTCGCTTGGCAGGCACTTTGAAACCCGTCTTTACCTCTGCAGCGGTCAACAGTGTCAACAGCGCCGTCAGACCACATGTATTCGCGGAGCCAATGAATCAGTGTGACTGGAGCGTTTGTGTGTGCATGTGTCTTTCTAATGGGGTGTGATACAGTTTGTGCAAACTGTGTGTGTGCAGCTGCTGCAGGTTTGAGTTCAGACATTTCTTGTTGCTGATTTTACTCTCAGTTTAAAGGGTCGGTTTACCTTAAACTTCAAAAACCATACTCTCATCCCTCAGTGGTATCCAGCCATGCGTACAGTTTTAGTTTTATGTGCAAAAGTCTATGTGATTTCTGCCTCCACCCTAATAAAATGGAGGTGAATGGAATTTCATTTGTGGTTCAGCATAAAAAAAAAGACATTTAAAAAAATAAACAGCAGCATCTCTTCCCAGACACAGTGTTCCCATTACTCACAATAAGCCACAGACCTCACTGTCAACAGTTTTCATTGGGACTATTTCTTCAGTAGAACAAAGTTCCAATGAAAACTCTCCACAGGGAGGCCTGTGGATTAGCCAGAGTAATACATTTAGACTTGTTGCTGTTGACTTTTAGTTTTTTACTTATTCAATCCCAAAACAAACTCGTGCTGTGCAACCAAATATTGTTCAAACCAGCAGAACCAAATATGTCTTAGTATGCTGAATTGTGGATGAATGTGTATAAAGACAAATATTTCCATGTGTCTGAATGTGCTGGGTTTGAATATTTGTCTAATTATCTAAACAACAAATAGCTTCAATGAAGAGGTGGAACAAGCTGATAAATAATATATATGATACTGTCAGACATGTGGTTACTTATTGTTCAGCCCAGCTCTGTCAAACAGCCCCAAAGCATCCAAACACATGACACACTCTGTATCTAACACATGACAGAAATAGAAAACGAGACATTAACAAGTTGAGGTATTTACTGTCTAAATCCGGGTGATTCCTAAATGTAGGATTACCAGTGGATGATGTTGGCAAGCCAGGTAGTTAACAGTAATGTAAATAAGATAACTTTGGAGTCAATGGTGTAGAGCAGTCCTTCCAGGAAGTTGCGATGTTGTGACAACAATTAATACAAATTCAACCAATCGCTGTGAATTCTGTGCAGCCTTGCCAAAAATCACCACAACGTCTTTACATATTTGACCAATCATTGTAGTTGCCATACAATCCATAAGCCATCATCTTACACACTTCTTTGTTTCTGTTTGTCAAGATGCAGACATGTTCGACGCAAGTGTTTTTACATTTACCCTCTCCAAACATCCAAACAAAAATTGTGATTTTATATTTTATTATATTTAAAAAAAAACTAATGTGAAATCTGGAATATACGCCCCAACAAATCCCGGAGCGACTGGTAGAGACAAACTTCCCACACTTTCAGCTCGTGTGCCAAGCTAACATATCTTGGACCAGTTTCTCCACTGAACACAGAGCAAACTGATATCAAATCCCTGGTAATCCCTCAAAGAAACTGACCTCCTATTTGTTTTTGAATAAAATGATCAGATCACTGTAACAAGTCACTTTTTAATGCTGTAAGAAAATGAATTAAGCTAAAGGCAGAAATCTCAAAACCAAGACAAATTAAAAACAAGATTATCTGCATGGCTGAAAACAGCTAGAGGTACAGCAAGTGAGAAAATATGTTGTATATATGTAGTAATTTGGGAGTAGTAACATTGTGGCTGCAGTGTTAACTCTTATTCACCACTGCCCTTTTGCACCTTGCTCTAAAAGCTCCCTGGAGCCTTCACTTTAGGAAGTTTGAGGCTCAAACCCCCCTCCTCTACACACACAAACTTTCTCTATCTCTGCCCTCCCTCCATCTCACTCTCTCTCTCTCACTTTTACTCCCTCCTCTTAGCTCAAAACTATAAGAGCCAGACATGGGTGCACACTCACAAAATACTCCTGCTCACATGCACGCACACACACTCGCTGCACATGCATCGAGTGGAACAGATCCACAGGCTGCACAGTAGTGAGGCAACGGTGTGTGGTTGAGAGAGGGGGGTTGGAGAGAGAGCGAGAGAGAGAGAGAGAGAGAGAGAGCATTTACTCTCCCTCTCGCCAACTTAAGGAAAGCACCAGTGTGGAGAAGTTGCATGAAGTGTGTGGTTCCAACTGAGGACTTTCTTATCAGACCATGGAAGCCAAGAAGTGGTGGTAGAAGAACAAGAAGAAGGAAAAAAAACCTCCCTGCTGGCTGAGACCAGAGTCTCATCTGAGGGATTACTGGACTCTTCATATATGTGCTTGTGTCATGGTGATATCCTACATGATCGTCTCTTGTTGACAGGAGCCTCTCTGTGTCTTGGATTTCCCAGGGATCAAAGTTTGTTTTCTGAGCAGAGTGTGTGAATGAAGTGTGCGGAAGCAGGGAACATGTCAAGCGGACGTTTCAGTCACCTGTTGAGGGGCGTCTGGCTGCTGTGGCTGTGGCAAGGTGAGTCCAGGCACTGTCTGCAGGATGACTGTGTGGTTTTTATTAAGTCTTCCAGCTGTCTAAACAGCTATTTAAAATATGTAGTTTGTCTGTCCAGTGAATTTGTGCAGAATTCAACTGATTAAACTCATAAAACCAATTTTTTTTTGGTCGGATTTAGATCTAAATTTGAAGATAAATGTTTTTAAATATTAGTTTAATAAAACTTAAACTGATGCTGGTGTTTCATGGTCTATAAGTCCCCAAAAATGCTAGTAAAAACGTATTATTTTTTAAATATGGCAAGAACTTTTTGTGAATCTTGTTTTAGAATCTAATTTTTAAAGATCGTAGCAGATTTCCTCCTCTAATCCAAAGCTTTTCCAGTATAAAAAAAAAAAGTGAGATAAACGCTCTCTCATGTGAGAAATCAGCTGAACACTTGCGGATTTAGCTTAAAGAACACATGGCATGGACACAGAGACAAAAAGGAAGAGATTATAACAGACAAAAACATAATTACAAGGAAGTTATTATTCAATTTGTCACAATTCAAATGATTTGCAAAGTTCAACATGTGGCTCAGCACTTTGAAAAATAAAAACACAACCTATGCTGACGTTAGACTCATGAATAGCCAGTCTGTGTTCTCCCTCTCCTCCTCTGTGTGTCTTCAAAGCGTCAGTCGGATATGTGGCCAGTGGAGGAGTCTTAAAAGGAGCTCTGGCTGGTGCCTTTAAACAATGGTTCCCTAGGAGCAGGGAAGCGTGGCCCTGGAACTAATGTTGCCATTATGTTAATGGTTAGAATAACAGGAGACAGCCATTACTGACCTTACCTCAGGCTGCTCTGCAGAGCAGATTGTCCAGCCGCTGCAGCCTCGATCACGGAAGCGCAGCATTTTGGCTATCAGGGCTGGTTAGGTTGATGAGCGGCGAGAGACAGACAGGAGGAGGCATCTGCCCAGTTTTAATCATCATCCAGCAACCCAAACACCAACCCCCCTAACCCTCCCTCCATCCCTAGCTGCTTCAGTGGTAGACTGGTAGACTGGTATCTGGGAATTATTTTCTTTTTCACAGCTCAAATCTAGTAGAGGAGACAGGCGAGGTTGAGTCGCTGGCCCTAAACAGATGCTGTAAGGAGCTGAGCAGTTCTTCAGCCCAAACAGAGCAGAAAACAGATCATAAAAATTGAAAATAAAACGGACCATAACATTTGTTTTCAGATTCATTTTGACAGGTGTAATATGATTTCTGTGAGGGGGAAAGCTTCCCAAGCCTGAGTACTTCACAGTGACGGTGAGCTGAGTCGAAAAATATTGATACTTTTGAGCAACTCTTTGCTTATAATTTACTGAGCAGCCTTTGAACCCAAACTTTGACTTTAAAGCTATAAAGCCTCAGTTCTTGGAGTTCTGCCTCTCTTGATGAAGTGTTTGAGGAAGATAAAAGTGACCAATTTGCTGTATGGGAGAGACCACAGTGAGTATTTGGATTAGGTCTAGTGGATCCTTGGATGAAAGAATTTCCTGTTTTTTCCTAGGTTTCATAAACTGGACTAAACTGGATGGGAACATTTAGTGACCCACCCTATCACGGTTTGATTTCACGATACAGAAAAACCTATGATCGTATTCATATAAATTAAACCTTGGATGCGGTCTTCCTGTTTCGGCCTCCAAGTATGTGAAAACGGCCTCCGACCGGATCTCCCAAAACATCTCCAAACCAAGTTTTTGGATTAAGGTGAAACCAATGTAATCTCAACTCGAAAACATCAATGGACCATCAACTTCCCCTGTCCGCTATCTACATCTCGACTACCTCGGCTGTCCACCAAGAAGAGACACCGCAATGTGTGTCAGGTGCTATTACAATCAGGAATCCTCTATACCGTCTGCCACTGAATTCAATGTGCATCCATAGGCACTGTATCAAGTTTGAGTAACATTATGCGACCTGCAGAGTTTACAAATAACGCAGCCCATGAAAGGTTGAGAAAATGGTGGGGTAGGAGGATGTGTTGGCTTGACGTGGCGGCCGTTTTATTAATGGTGAGGGTGTGAGATGTGTGTGTTGTTGCATTGTGAACAGGAGCCAGAGTTTCGCTAACCACAGTGGAACTGGCAGCAGCGTCCACTGGGCAAACTCCTGTAGATCCCTTGTCTAAATAAACGAGGCCACTGGATTAACCAGCTTACACTGTGATGAAAAGACAACAGTAGTCGTCCATGCGCTGCCCCGGGGACAGAGGGATACTCCTGGTCCAGGAGACCGCTATGAGATGCTGGGGTTAAAGCCCAAAAAAGGAAGGGGGACTCAGGGTTAGAATAACACAACAGACCTCATGTTCTTTGAAAAACCTCTAAATCAACCTGACCTTCGCCTGACTTTGGCGACAAGGGTGGAGGGAAGGGAGAGAGACAGAAACAGGGTACTGCAGCAAGAAGGCCGGAGCCAGTCGAAACAGAAAAATGATTAGCATGGTCTCCGTTAGCCCTCCTCCATTCCTGACCGCGCTGGGCAGTAGTTACAGTTGTCTGAGGACTTTGTTTTAGTAATGAGTGGAGTAATTCAATAATTACATTAGTTACAAATCCCAGTAACACTCTGATATTTTGACAATTTGAGGTTGACATGTTTGCTGTCTTCAGGCGCCTTTACACTGTGCAACAATGATTATGTGTGTCTGTTACACTGTGTGAGAGCGGTCTAATAAAACCTTCACAATCTGTGTCAGACTGTATGACATCACTTTGAGGCATGTCAGATTGCGCGATGAATCTGTGGTGAATCGTAGCGCTACCATGTGAATAGAAGTAGGAAAGAGAAGAGACATGCCATACATCTGTGCTATTTGTGTGTGTTTGAAAATGCAGCGATGCACATTTTCTTCTTTACCAGAGTTGCATAAATGTCTTTTCTCATTTCACCTCTGTTGTTTTGGTTTGGGTGTGTACATGCAGGCATTTCTTACTAAACATGGCCTCCCAAAAATGGCTTTTACAACAACGTATTCTGCATTATTTCATGCCGTATTCTGATCGGTCGGTTGGTTTTTGGGTCGTTGTAGTGGTCACAGTGTGAGAATCTGGTGTTAAATTTCTGACACTGACAGAAATGTTGATCACAGTGTGATCTCGGGCCAATGCTTTAATGGGAGTTTGCTGAAGAGTTGGTATCAATTTCTACTGCTGTTAGCTTGTAGGGGCTGGAGGAGTAGGGAAACGGTTAGGTTAATCTGAGGGGCTAGATGATTAATAGGATAGGAAAGAAGAAAAACAGATCTTGCTACACACATTTCTGTTTTTGTGCGTGTTTTCAGTTGTATAAATATAGCTTTTTTTCTTCCAAAAAGTAGTAGATTTTGAGTAATTTTGCCTCTTTTGCCCTCTACAAATATTGAAATAAAAGTAAAGAGTCCTTCTTTGTCTGAAGCCAAACAAATTTGGGAATCACTTATAACACCTCTCCAAAATCTGGAGGATAACCCAGCAAGAGAGCACAAGAGTGCCTGAAAAAGCAGCTGTGAACTGTGAATAATGTGCAGCAGTCACCTAAATATGTAGAACGAGCAGGATCTCTGAGCTACTGTAGCATCACACGCAGAAAAAACACACACTCAGACACATGCACCTCACTAATCTTGTCATTCCAGCTCATGAAGACGAAGTGAAGTCTCACCCCACCCTCCTCCAACCCCTCGACCAACTTCATTCACCTCATCAACCACTGAAAGACACACACAGAGAAAGAAAAAAAAAAACGAAACAAAGACAGAGGAGAAAAAAAGAAGGGAGGAATCTGAAATCCATCCAGGAGAAATGAGCCGTAAACATCATGGCTTTTTCATCAGAGGAGGGGAGCAGTAATCAGCGGAGGGGGAGGTGGGCCAGGAGGGCACGGGCACTTCAGGGACAGTTTTGAGGGTTTTGTCCTGCAGCACTGAGGCAATGAGAGATGAGAAAGTGGCTTTACAGGACACTGGGGGTAACCACACTGAAATAAATGCAGCGAGGATGTAGTAAAAAAGAGCAGGAAACACACGAGGAAGTAGTTAAAATACTGGAACACGGAGGAATTGGTCTTGCTTTGCCATCATTTCACCACCAACACTTCTTCTGGGACAAAATAGATATTTTCTTTCACCTTCACTGCCTCCACTTTGGCAAGTTTAATGATTCTCCATTAAAAAAGAAGCAGCTATGCAGCAGACAAAGTCGTCTCTCTCTAATGAACGAGGCACAGGGTTGACTTAAACTTCAGGCACTTGATTCCCCCTGCGAGCGCTGAATCAAAAGTGCCTGGATCTGGTTCCTGTTTTTACAGGATAGCTCCAAATAAAGAAGTATATAAAGCCATATTTTGACTTTGGCGCTGTGGATGAGACATTAGAGAGGAGGGCGAAGGCTGCCAAACCGTAATCACAAATGCAAACAAACAAACAGAGTGCAGCCTGGAGGTCCTTTATAAATGGTATCCCTTCTCAGTCTTCTGTAAGTCAATGTGTGCAGTGTGTTTTTGTGAACGTGCCTGCATGCATGTGTATGTGTGTGGAAACAGGATGAATAAGGGAGCTCAAAGACAGGTAGATTACTTTGGCCGGTCATCAGTCGGCTGAAGCGAAGGCCAGTAGCAGCGGCAGTGTTGGTGGTGATGACAGAGTGACCATCCAGACCACACGCAGGTCACAGGCTGCTGCGCTGACCCCTTGTGGGAGAGTCGTGGTACTGCATGAGGACAAACTGGGGGGGGGTGAGTGTTGTCTTTGATGTGCAGTGCGTTGTTTAGCTGCTCTTAACAGTAAAACCAGGGTTACTGCAGGAAGACAAGGTGGCAGTCACAGAGCAGCGCTGGCATCCTGCTCACTGTTGAAGTAAAACTTGCACCAAAAACCAATCTCACTGTATATTAATAGCCCTGGCCCTTACGAGCAAAAATAGCTACCACAATTGTTGCTTGTTGTGTGCTGTTATGGCAATCGAAGCAACATGTGTGCATCAAAGAGTTTTGTCTCATTCTCCAGGCTTTACTTGCTTTAATCATTCTTCCTCTGTCATACTTTCTAAAGAGCTTCCAATGTACGTGATCGAGAACAAAATCCTCCTTGTTCTGTGCAAAAAATTTTATTAATATTAGATTTAAGCAGCCATCCTCTGTTTTTCCCGGACAGTGTTTCTCTGTTGAGCTGCAGCGGAGGGAGAGTAACCCAAAGAGGGAATTTCAATGTTTCATTTAACTTTGGAAGATAGCCATTTGATTTGATTAACTCAGACTTCTTAGCCTCATGTTAGGTTCGCATAAACTAACTTTTGTTACTAAAGGCACATTATAATGTTGTAATGACCAGTATGAAACCTGATCAATGTGCATATGGACACCTGACAGTTGTTTTAAGAGAACTATTCACATGCTATATGTCGACCCTTGAACCCTGTGAAGTCATAGAGGTTAGTGGCATGGTTAATTTTAGTTAATTTGAATAAATGTTTGTTATTGAAATGTCACTTTTACAGTTGGATTACTGTTACTGTGTAGTGAGCTCTCATGTTTTACACCAACGTAATTCTACCTCTTTATAGGTGAATATATATGTATAAATACACTTTTATTTATTACCAGTTTATTATAATTCAACAACACCATAAACTGCAGCCTTCAAAATTACCATACATTGACTCAGTGCCTTACAACCTTCAGGATTAATACTAGTGTACACAGACATACAGCTGTGTGTATAATCCAACATTGGTTTTATCAGTCCTGCAGTGTGTTTTATTGGTAAAAATACATGACATCTGTTTCTAAAAGATGCACTGAGCGCTATTAAGTGACAGGGAGGTGTATACTGCATCAAGGGGAAGTTTTAGGGCCCTTAGTGGGAAAATAAATCAGTGGGAACCATTGCAGGGTAAAACTAATGATATCTGACTGCCTGTGTAGGAAGTGAATCAACTAAAATGGTCCCCCATCTCCTCCAAATTGAGATGGGGGTTGGATATTATCATATGTATTACAACATCGCCTCACTTGTGGTTGCAATAGGCTCTTTTGTAGAAGAATACTTAAAAAACCCCACGATGAGCAATTTTGTTTTACTAAGCTCTGCTTTTATGAGTGCTCTTTTAGTAAATGCAACCATATGCCCAAACTGGAACGAGATCCAAGACAGGGAAAGGGGCTGAATGACAAGTGACCTCAAGAAACACTATAGAAATGCTTTGGCAAAAACAGAAACTCAAATATAGCAACCCAAATGACTCCACATCATACTGTGACTCTTGCCTCTCTGTGCATTCATTGCACTGTGTGTGAGTAACCACTTAGGCAACATGTTGCATGCAGCTACAAAGGGTGGATAACACAAAACAGACCGATTGGATGACTTGCAAGGAGCAGTGGAAATTAATTAATCCTGATTAGTATTTCTGCTCCGAGCACTCCCGTGGGAGCGCAGCTGGGTCCGACTGACCGGGTTCCCTCGCCAGCTGCAGTGACATGGAGCATAAACAAACACATCACCGCATGGGGAAAATTGCAAACATGTTTCAATGCCTGTGACAAGAAAAAGAAGTATTAATCATATCAACAAATTGACAGACTGCTCAAAGGAGGAGAAATGTGCCTTGAGCTTCAATTTGGTTTTGTGGTCAGCGACTGTGCAATCCAGCCTCAACGTGTGTGTGTGTGTGTGTGTGTGTGTGTGTGTCAGGTGGAAGGATGCTAGGAAATGACTGAGCTGCACATATGTCTGTGGTTGTGGTCAGCATATGGGAAGCACTCCAAGAGTGAGGGGAACAAAAAATATCCTCCATCTGACACTAACAAGTTTACTAAATGCAGATCAGTCAGCCGCCATTTTGGAGCCTTTTCCTGAAAAAAAAAAAAACCCATCTATCAGCAAGTCAACATCACTTTCCATTCAAAGTCTCCATTTTCCTTCAGCTCCATCTGCTCAGTCATAAGAGAACAAACTGAGCTGTGGCTCCCAGCTCAACTGGAGGCTCGACAGGTGATGTCCTCCCCAAGTGCATCTAAAGTCAAATGAGAGAAAAGTGGAGTGAGATTACACCCGTAAAGCTGTCTACCACAGATGACCGAGGAAAGCTGAGAAAGTGAGAGAAAGAATGTGAGAGCTGTAAGGGAACAAGGGGGAATAAGAAAGAAGGAAATAGAGGAACAAGTAAGATGGATATGCTGCTTATTGAGTTAAATGAGAAGATTGAGAATCTCTCTCATACTTGTCTGTCAACTATAAGGCTACAGTTAGCAGGCAGTTAGCTTAGCTTAGTATAAAGACTGGAAGCAGGTTCAAAGGTAACAGAATCCACCTACCAGCACCTCTAAAGTTCACTATTGAACATGTGATATTTAATTTATTTAATCCGTACAAAAACCAAAGTGCAAAAAGTAAAGTTCACCTTTAAGAATAAAAGTGAGCGGACGAGGAAAACAAGACAAAAAGTCAGAGAGAAAACAGGATACGGAGGAGTCTGTGAGAACTCATCCCCCCTTGCTTTTTGACATTTGTTTTGGGAGGATGAAACTGAAGCCATAATTTTTTACACACGAGAAAATGCACACACTGCCAGGACAGAACCCCAGCGGGTTTCCTCACGTTGCAACCATGAGGGTGTACTCAGAAAAATCTCCTCGCCGTGTCGACAACGCACACATCTCTGCGCAGTGGATAGAGCAGAAAAGTGCCGTTATGGCCAATGACAGGGAGACAGATTGCAGATGTGCACGTGTCAGATCAATAAATGTTATAGAGTGAATAATGCTTTCATTTGGATTAACTTAACTGCCTGTGTTTGGGAAAACTCAAACGAGATCATTCATCATTTTAAGTGTTTTTTTTTTATTATCATATTATCAACAGATGTGTTTGGCTCAGCCGGCCTGCTGCTGTCAGTGACCCGCTGTTGGCTTTATCTTGATGGTAGAATTGCATATATACAGAGAGCCTATGCGGGTGCTGATGTGCACACAAACGCTCCTCTGCACACGCTCTTCTTGCCTCCTAGCAAGTGTTGCAGCTGCAGGCTGATTGGAGTGACAAGCCAAAACTGTCTCCACCATGGCCTCGCCTGATTCACATTAATGTATGGGTATGGTTGCTATAGGACCCACTCTCCACTCATTACATGGACAATTTACCAGAATTACAGCTTGCTGTCAACCAGAATTGAGTTTAGATGTAACAGGGAGAAGATGTGAATTCCCTTACGGACATTATCTGTTCTCTTCTTTTTATGATGAAGGAGGCCGATAATAATCTCTGAACTGAATAATTTCCTACATCCACCCAAAATCAGCCGGGAAATCTGACTTAAGTGTCGTGGAGCCTCTGTGTTTATCGGACTGGATTACTGTGATTATTTACTCACTGTTTTCTGACTCTCCCTTCCTCTCTGTAGCTGTGTTTGTGGCTGGAACAGGGAGTAAACTGTGGGAGGTGCCCACAGCCTCCTTCACTTCCTCCTCCAACCTCAGTGAGAGCCTGCAGTGGGAACAGGACTGTCAGTACCGCCACCTACAGGACAGAGTGAGAATCACAGCAGACATCCCTCCAAGACTGGATGGCACATGGGTGTCAACAAGGTGAGTCTTTTTGTAGCAAGTTGTACACACACAAAATAATTGTATCCAGTTTTTTGAACCTTTAATATTTTAAGCAGCTATAATAGATACTTTCCTATTAACAATGGATCATGTGACCTTTTCTGGCTTGTAACTGCACTGTTCACTCTCACTGCTTGCTGTGCTGACAAAAAAAAGCTCTAAACCCAGTGTGCACTCCCTGGTCAGCACCGAACAGCAGGCAGAAAGAGTTAGCAACTATCTGGTGAACATAGTGGAGCATTTAGCAGCTAAAGATATTTACCTCAGGAGTTGGTAGAGACCAAAGACTGAGCTAAAACAAAGTATGGCAATATTAGACTAGAACTTAAGCTCCAAATGAATGATAATGTTGCTGATGATGTGTGAATACACAACTCTTTAAAGTAATAAGTTAAATGATGAATTCAAGAACATCAGTGGTTGTATGTCTGAAAATAAACTGTGCTGCACCTAAAACTGTAAACTCTGTATTATTTGGTCCAAAAATAAGGTTGAGTAGGTCCACAGAGCTCAGAATTACAACGGGACACACTCAGATTGCTGCCAAAACATGTGTTAAACACTTGGGCTGCGAGTTGGACAGATCACTGAGTGGAGAGATTATGGGACAAAGAGTTATTACCAACGTAAACCAGAAAATCACATTTCTGGCACGCTAGGCCTAATATTTAGATAAAAATAATGTTAGTTATTGTGGTTACAACTTATTTCTTTTACCAGCTAGTGGCCAAAAATCACTTAATACAGGTTCAATTATTAAGCCAAAAACATGGAAAGGATTTAGATTCAGTTATGAAAAAAAAACACTATTAAGAGCTTTCAAATAAAAATGTTCAGAGACCTTAAATACTTTAAAGCTTTTTGCTCATGAAGACTTGTAACTTGACTTGGATTTGAGGCTTTGACTGATTTGAGATTTGACTTAAATGTGCCCCAAAAGACTTAAAGACGGCTCTGGATGTGGCAGGAAACTGATCTCCGCTCACTACTGCTGGATACATGACACAGTCACAGTCACTAATCTCATTCAATTTCTCTGCTGTTCAGATGTGAAGTTAGGCCTGGTCCAGAGTTCCTCACCCGCTCCTACACTTTCCACCCCAGCCGTCACTTCCAGGCCCTGCAGCACTACTACACAGACAGCGGCTGCGAGGACCCAACCTATTCCCTGATGATCAGAGGGAGGCTTCGTCTGCGCCAGGCCTCCTGGATCACCCGTGGGGGCACCGAAGCTGAACATCACATCAGCAAGGCAGGCATCGTGGTCCACAGCCTGGCGGCCAAGCAGAGGCTGGCCTCCAGCTTGCCTCCGACCTGCGTGGGTCTGATCTTGGGTCGAGTGGTGCCAGGGAAGCTGTATGAGCTGTACAACACAAGAGCGGGGAGGGGATGCCTGGCAGCGCTGGGCTTCTCCATGATAGAGATGGGACTGATACGGGTGGAGACGCAGCACCACAGCCATGGAGGGAAGGTCCAGGAGCTGTTGTTAGGGGACGTTCACACTGACTGGACACAGAGGACTCAGTACAGACCTACAGGGTACCAACAGCCACTGCAGAACGCCATGGTGAGACGTTACTGTGCATTATTCAGTTTGTTTACCAGAGAGAGTTGATCAGAGAAGTGAGAAGCTTGTGGAGGATTGATTGTAAGGACAGGCAAAGGTACTATAAACATCTTGTTATCCACTGAGCAGCTCAACAGTAAAACAGTTGGGATGTCACTGCCTTTCTCCTCTTGATCAGCGTAATATGTAATATTCTTTGTTTATTCATTTAACAGTATTAACATGACAGAAAACCACAAAGAAACTTGATTAATTGGTTAATTGTTTAGTTTATGAAATGTGGAAAAAATTTGAATTTCTCAGAGCCAACATCTGAAAACATTCAGTTTTATCATCAATGACAACGTAAACCAGAAAATCCTCCATGTGGAAAGCTAAAACCATCAAATGTTTGGCATTTCTTTCCTTAAAAAATAAAAAAAATTATCAATCTAATATCAAAATGGATACATTTTCTGTTGTTGTTTACACTTAAGATAAAATAATGTTTTTTTTTCACTGTTACCTGAACAAAACAAGCCCTTTAAGGACATTTTCTTGGGCTCTGGGAATTTTAATTTATCACAGTTTCCTGATATTGTAAATGATTAAGTGTCTAATAAAAAAAAAACCTCTCTCTTAATCTTTGCAGCATCACATCCACCCCTGCCCTGTGTGCGCGCTGGTGTACCGCTCCTCCGAGCAGCGCCCCCCAGTGTTGCCCCGTGGCCCCGCAGCTCCTCTGTCTCTGGCCGGCCGCTGGGTCAGCCAGCGCTGCGAAACCCGCCCCAACGTCCTGTTCCTTACCCGAGACTTCACCTTTAATCCTGACCAGCACGCGTGGGATGGCATCTACCGGCACTACTCGGACCCTGCCTGCTCTCAGCCCACTTTCACCCTGAGAGCCTCGGGCCACTACGCTCAGGGAAACCCCTCCGCCAAGGTCTCAGGAGCCACTGAGTTTGTCTTCAAGGTCACACAGGTGAGAGTCACAGCTGCAGAGGAGTCCACAGCGAAGTTGCTGAATGGGACGAGGCCAGGAAAGTGCGGCCGGGCAGGCAGCTGGGAGGTCGGGGTGGAGCAGGACTTGACCCCCACAGATGGGTGCACCCTGCTGGGTATCAAGCTGCCGCATAAGGAGTACGAGCTCTTCAAGACTGAGCTGGACCACAGGAAACACCCACTGCTGTTCATCGGAGAGAGGCCGACTGACGGGTCCAGTCCAGACCGACCGCAGAAGAGGCCCACTTCCTTTCAGGCTCCCATGGTGCTTTGCAGTGGGGGGGAGACACAGCCTTCACATCGCTATGGCTCAGGTTTTAACAGCAAGCAAGTCCAGTTAGCAGCCAGTGGGACAAAGAGACTGGCACAGCTGGTGTTACTGGTGCTGGGATCTGTGCTGTGCAGCTGGTTCTGTGTTTATTAGAGACAATGTTCACAAATCAAGCCTGTTACACAGCTGAAGTCATTGATGGACATTGTTTTCTGGCAGCTTTCTTTCACTCTTCCTCCAAATGATGATGACCACATGTGTGATGGTCAGGAAAAATCATGAGACACTCAGGAGAGCTGAATCATTTTTGATATCTGGCTTTCAGATGCTGCCTGTAGGTTCACTTTAATGACTATTAACTTCAGCTGCATTTCTACCTAAAACTAATCTGTATATAAACCACCAATATATACAAGTGCCACCATTTCAGTATGTAAAAATATATTCTTTTAAACCATGTTCCTTCTGTATAATGATCAGATGTTCTCACAGATTTATTCCTTTCTGCATATTTTTGGGTAAATTCGTTTTTTTTTTTGTAATGCTATTATTTCAAAGCAAGATCACCAATGTGGTTCAGTTATTTCCACATACAAATGAAAGCCATGGACATCACACAAGAGCTCATTTTTATCCTAGATGCAGTATAACTAATGCACTTTGTACAGATGATTGTTTTCTCAACATACTGGAGAGAAAATAAGTTGGAAATGTTTTAACTTTTGTAATCAGCGCTTTTAATAGCTGCCATCTTCCTTGGTCTGAAGCCACTGTGGTGTGAAATGTTGCTTCATTTCTGTCCTCTTTCACAGCTTGTGTATTAGTTTCTATCAGCAGATCAATCTAAACAAATCAAATGAATATTTATTTTAACCATTTATACTGTACTTTTTGATAAGAGGAAGATGTTGGTTTAATATTTTAGTTAGTTTCGCCATTTAAGAATTGATTATTTTCTATTTGTATTAAAAAATGGCTTTTCATAACATCTTGTGTTCAATTGGTCATTAAAACAAGGGTCTACAGCCATGCTAGGAGCCCTGTGAGGCTGTACGATAGATATGGAAACATAGTTACCTCATTGGCTGCTCCCCTGTGCATCAGCACGGTCGCCGGAGGTCAAGATTTGCTAGTTAACAGTACTGAGAAATGCAGTCTTCACTATAAGTAACTTGTGTAATTCTGAACTGATTTTCATTAACTTAAGTTTGTTATAAACGTGAGAAATTGAACATGATTAATTCAGTTATTGGAGGTGGATCTAATCAGTGCCATGGCAAAAAATGTACTTTCTGGATAGACACAACTTGCACACTGGGACATGCAGGTTGAGATCTATGAACAACATCAAGTGTAAATTATTTAGAATTTTAGCTTTTGTCAATTTCTCTAAAAATGTAGATTTCTATATCTAACCTTAGCAACCTGGTTGCTTGTTTTAGTGAAATGTGAAATTTGTCTACAGGAAAACATAATTGAACATATGTGAATTATTTTCCCCACACAATCTTTCTTGCCAGTTTCCTGGGTTAGACAGTAATTTATAGCCTTTATGCACCACCTCACACACTAGTAGGTATGTATACTATATATAAGCAAGTCACTTTTGTAGTGAAGTCTGCATCTAGCTGATCTTGAGAACGCTGTATCTACATTTCTACAGCTTAATGCAGCTGCTCACAAGACAGTGCTAACATGCTGATGTGTAGCAGGTATAATCCTTACTATAGCCTACTCTCCATGTTAGCATACTAACATTTGCTATTAGCACGAAACACAAGTAAATCTGAGACTGATGGAACGTTTACTTGTGGCGTTTGCCAAAGCTGCTGTTTTATTTCAAGAACCAAACTGAAAAAAAAAAAAATTGGGACTGTAGCATCAGCTGGATTTTGTCTTCTCCCTGGTGTTCGTACTGTGGTCTGATTCAAAGCCCAGATAGTGGGTGAGCGTATTGCCGTTTGATAAATAACTGTCATATGGCTCACACATTACACAAGACATTCCAGTGCAGGTCCAACTGCTGAAAACACACAGAAGGATATCAGATTGAATGCACAGTGTTTCATGAGAATGCACAGCCGTCAGCCAACAAAATAGATTTCGCAGTCGCTCTGGCAATAAATGAGCCGAGAGGAGCAGCAGTTTGGAGACGACAGAGGAATATATATATATATATATAGCTACAGCTCTTCAGTGTTGTGACTGAAGCAAATGAAGCGTCGTGCTCCACGGAGAGAGATATCTTCCACTTGTAAAATCCTGACACCTGCTTTCTACAAAATGACAGCAGGCAGTTTAACTCAACTTAATACAGAATATCACACAGAATTATCGGCCGTGTCTAAACTTTTACATACTAAATATTTCAGTGAGGAATAAAAGCTAAATATAAAGATACACTGCACAGTGGAACTTATTGTTGGAATATAAGATCCAACATGAACACACAATTATATGTCAGAATCAAAATCGTTTTGGTGATTTAACGTGACAGATTTCTGTGTTTCTTAGTTAGTCTTAGTTAGTTTTTCTCAGTCCAGCAGACACAGATTTATGCAGCATATTCATTTGGAGCCACATTTCTGTCCAATATTCACTCTCCTTTTAGCTCAGTTTTTGGTCCCCACTGACTTCTGAGGGGAATATCTGTCTCCTTTGCTGCTGAATACTTCATTGTCTTCACAAGCTAGTTGCTAACTTTGTCTATATGCTATTTAATAATGGCTGGAACAATATGATGAGAGCAGTGAGACTGTAACTAAACACTAAAGCTGTGCTGAAGGCCGGAAAACCAAAACAAAGAACGAAGAGACTATAAGAAGAATTAAAAAGCTCCATAGAGTGATAGTTCCCTGTGTGGTAATATATAAATATTAATTATAGCCACTTGAAAACAACTTGTCTGCAATTTTGCACTGTAGGATATCTTCTATGATGCAGCTTTAAAATGAGGAAATGAAGGGGAAGAAAAGACTTTGAGATTTCCGAGAAAAGTAAAAACATAAAAAAAAAATGAAGGCCAAATTATGTTAGTTGGCTCTCTAGCATTCAAATAGTGGGGACAGAAAAAAGAAAGGAGAGAGAGAGAGAGAGAGGAGAGAGAGAGAGAGAGAAGTAGTCCTTTCCAGAGGCTACATGCTGTTCCTATTAACTCCTGCGAGAATGGTGATGGCAGCTGCTAGCCCCATGAGGTCATCCTTCAGGCTTGGATGGAGAATTTAGGTCTCTAACCCCCCCGAGCCAACACACAACGAACACAGACTGAGACAAAGAAGAACGGATGAGTGGCATTTATCTGTGTGCAGAATGTGTCATTAAATGAACCTGGATAAACCCCTGCTTGCTACCAGTGAACCCACGTGGATCCACCCAGGTTTGTCGTGTGCTGGAGATTGGCTGTGTGGTGATGAGCACTGAGAGAAGGACCAGGAGGGAGGAGGAGGGGGGCTGCCACAGTTTTTCATTGTCTGTTTGTGGTTTCTGTTGTGCACCATAAAGTAGAGAAACTGACTGGGTGGAGAGGAGTTCAGGGCCAGCCTGTCAGCAATCAGGTTTAGTGAATGCATCCACTGAACAATAGAAACAAAAAGATGAAATACAGACCTCATTTAATTAGCGAAGTAAAAAAGAAAAAAGCATGATTGCATACTGGATGGGTGTGTGTGTGTGTGTTTACACAGTCTTGATATTTCAAGTCCATTACATAAAAAATACAAATTATATTCTTCTAAACTGTTCATTGTTGGACCTCATGAAAAAATAGTTACATTTTTGGTGAATTTTCTTCCGGATTAGATGAATATCAGGTATGCTAAGCCAGAAGACAGTAGTAGCATAAAGACTGGAGACGGGTAAACAATTACCAATCTGCCTACCAGCACCCCTTAGGCTGACTAATTCATTATATTTTGTGTAGAAGTGTAAAAACAAGGCCAGGCCAATCGAAATATGCTTATTCGCTTTTCTGGTGGAGAGTTGAAGATAGAAAGAAAAAATCCACCTCCAAGCATTTCTGAAGCTCACTAATCAACATGTTATATTTCCTTTGTTATAAATGTTACTAACTGGATCTTTGAGGCAAAAAGAAAAATCCACTTGCATTTGCATTACTTAGTATTTTAACAGGAAACCAAGAATTAAAGAACACGTGTGGTCATAAATGAACAAAGTGGCCAAAATTCCTTCAGTGAACAGGCAGATGAAAACCTCCAGACAAGAAGTTAGGTCCAAAATTATGTTTAGTCCAGCAACAAATGTAATAAGGAAACTCTTAAAGGTTGGAGCTGTTCACGTGGACCACTGTATCACATGTAAGCTTTTAGCTGACATTTTTTTTTTAGAATAAATCTAGTTTGTTGTTTGACTTTCTGTAGCCTCTTATGAACTAAGACCATAAAAGACCCAACCTTTGAATATGACTTCAGGAAGAATGTTCCTATAGACTGAAAAAAAAAAGGAAAACAAAACAAGCCCTCAGGAGTTTCCTTTCAGCTAAACCAAGTTTCCAAACCGCAAACAGTTTGGTGGTTTAGTCTGACAAATGTTCTGGTAAAAGAAAGACACAGTGCTGCTTTTGGACAGACTCAATAGAAAATACAGCAGAGGTCCCATCTCCTGCCTTCCCATAAAACTCTTGCAGTTAATGCATGCACACACACACACACACACACACAGACACACACCACGGAGATGACATCACTGCAGTAGTACGGGTACCTTCCAACCTCTTTCACTCATTCAAATTTCAGGCTCTGTTAAGAAAATCCCATTATTTCTATAAGAATATGAGCTGCAGCTGCCCCATAAAAGATAACATCAGCCATAAGTTGGCCGGCTCAGTTGAAACAAATGAGTTTCTATTGAGAAATGTGTCCTTTTGGCTCTGGGACAAATGAACAAAGCGCTGTGTGTTGTGCCCACAGAGCTGCAGCACAAGGCAGCGACTGCACTTTCCTGCTTGATCTCAAGCCAAAAAAAAAAGTGGACTCCTTTCTGTCATGACCTCATGCTTACATACTTAACCAACTACTGAACAGATCCCGCCTATCCGACACCACATTCCAGCACAGAAATGTTCCTTTTTCATAAAACAAACTCCTCATCTATCAGGACAAGTAGTGGTAAAATAAGTATTCACATCTTTTTATCAGGTAAAAGTAGAAATACAACAATGTACAAATACTCTATACAGGTGAAAGTCAGATAAAATAGTAAAGAGCAAAAATGTAGTTACGTTAAATTGTTGTGAAGAAAAAAAGCCTGTTTAACTGATATATATTACAGACAATATTCATTGACTGTGATATATAATATTATGATATTATATGAAAAATTCACACGTTTTGTTTAGAAAGTCTGTAAAGTAGCCAGTAGCTGAATAAAATGGAATTACTCAGTTACTTTAAGCACATTTTTAAGTAACAAATTTACTGTTGTAGTTGGTCGAGTTGAAGTTTTAACTACTTTATTTACAGCTGTTTACAGTACGATAGTCCGCTGTCTGGAGTTGGATCCCCTCCAAAGGGGCACAAAATAAATCCCAGGGGTTGTGAGATGATTAATGGGGCAGGAAGGAAGGAAAAACAAAGTTCTGTTACACAAAAGTGTATCAATGCTTTTGACTTGTCTCTTAATATTTGCTTGTTTTGTGAAATATTGTTTTTTTACCTCTTTGGGTGTCAAACTGTTAAATAAACGTATCTGACAAGTTTAGAGAGGGAATCACTCATTTTGTGAAACTGCTAACAACTTACAGACATCTGAAAAGTGACGAGGGGCCCTGTATCTGTTAATAAAGGGTCACAAGTAAAAAGGTAGGAAACCAGTGGTTTACTCTATTACAATGTATGTACATCTTGTTATATGTTTTTTATGTAAACTCTTAATCTGAAAACTATCTTGTGAGCTATCAAATAAATACAGTGAAGTAAAAAAGTACAATATTTATGTTTGAAATGTGTTGCAGAAGAAGTAGAAGTACTTCCAAACTGTACTTAAGTAATATACTTGAGTAGATGTACTTTATTACTTTTCACAACTGCAGAACACAACAGAAATATACTCCTTTATTCTCTTTTGCCACCCATAAATTATAACAGATGGACAGTAATGTGCATTATCCAGTATGAGACAACCTATTTAACGTATTTGTTGCCTTTGGGACTCATTTTGACAGAAGCATCCCCCCTAAGAGCTATCTGTCAGTTCTGGTGGCTTGTTAAATCAGGTCATGTTTCTGTTCTAAGGTTAAGATCACACAAATGATTGAAAAGGTTTTTGCTGGAGAGATCTGCCACAGGCCGATTCTTCCAGACTGCATCCCTCGCTGCCAGTTGTCCTGCCTCCAACCTCTCTGGCAAGCTGCAAATCCTTTTTAAATAGTTACGGCCCCAAAAACTCTTACAGGGACCTCTTGTAAGGAGAAAATTTGCATGAAATTCGGCTTATTTATGTGCCAAACAACTATGCTGTGCAGAGTATTTTGTTTCACTTTGTGCAACTTTGAGAAGGAAAATAAATTAGGTGTATATATAAACATGCCAAATATGTAAAACCTGTAGATGAAGCAGGAGATGGATTGTTTTCTCTGCATGCTTTAATGACTGTGTAAAACAATAATCATCATGTTGCCAAAAGTAATTGTTGCACACAGTTAACACGAAGAGTAGAAGTGTGTCAGGCTGATGCATAATTAAATATTTTATACGTTTTACGACACTGAAACGCAGCCAGTCATCAGGTTTATTGTACAAAGACCTCAATGAAGACCAGATTGACTGAGAAAGAAGCCGGGAGCGAGGCAGATAAAGATCAGTCAGACTGTGGACAGAATCCAGCACAGGGGTCAGAGATCATTGTCTGATGTGGGTTACTGGTGGTCAGTATGAATAATAAGAACAGATTGGGATAATGCACAATAATGTCAAAGAACAGTTAATCAGGTCACCAGTGCTTTGCCTTGTGGGAATATTATATCATTAACTCATGTAAGGGCTCTGCTGAGCAGTTTTCTGATGCACATTTTAGCTTTGACCGCTGCATTGTCCGATTGGTGAAGATGTAAAATGTGTGTGTTGAGCTCTCAGGCTTCACTTAAACCAATAAACAAGTCATAGAATCGCTGCTTTTCTCAATCCTGGTGTTCTGCTTTCTTGATTTTGAACTGAAGTTCGATACAGAAAGTGACTCTTCAGTTTGTTGATAAGAGATCTGAAAGGAAGCCACTTTTGATGTCTAATTTACCCTAAAACAAGTCTGTGAATTCAGTTTTGGCAAACAAACATAGCCGTAACATATGAAATGTATCCTAACGTGATGCATTACAGACCATTTTCCTCGGGGTGGCCAGTACTCACTGTTGAGTGAGGCATATTAATGAGTATGTTCAGGTTTTTCTGCATGGCACGGTGCTGCACAGAGGTTAGATTATGATGTTTGCTTATAACCAAACTGTGTGTATCTAAAATAAACCCCTGATAGTCTTCTGAATGTGCCAGCAAGAAGAAAAAAACATTTTATTTATCCTCAACATCAACTTTCACTACTTTTGCAGCTTGTACCTCAATTTCTGATGCCTGGAGCTTGGTTCTTCTGTTTCTGTTCTTAACTTTCATCAGTGTTTATTACCAAAATCTGCTTCTCATTCATTTTGTGTGCGCAACAAAAACTCGGCAAAACTCAGCAACAGCCTGTGTTTGATCTCCCCTTAGACTTCAGCAGCGAGTGAGTTGAATGCAGATCTGGTTGGGGAGGTGCACTACTAAATAATGTCCCCAGTGAAGCTGCGGCAGTAGAGAAATGGTTCAGCACAAGAAAACAAACTACCCAAAATATGGTGCCATGTGAGCAAATGGAGCAAGTGGGGTAACCAGACTTTTGCAACCCTTTTGATTTAATGTTGCTTTACTGGCATTTCTGATTGTCTTACCTTCAGGGCACGTGGCAGAGGGTGAACCACGTTAATATAAAATGGCTAAAGGAATTAGGGCAAAACATTAGACTGAGGTGCAGGATTTCTGGAAAATATGCTTATTCACTTTCTTGCTGAGAGTTAGATGAGAAGTCTGATGCCACTCTCATGCCTGTAAATTAACTATAATGCTGGAATTGCTTAATGTTAGATGGAAACAACAAGCCTGGCTCTGCTAACCAGCACCTCTAAACCTCACTAACACGTTAACCTTGTTTGTTTAATCCGCACAAAAAAAGTTATTGTTTTATGGGATTTGTACCAGACTATTTCTTGGCCTGGGCGCAGTGGATTCCTGGTGTTTCTGCTGGTCACCTGGCAACTATTAAGGTCAAAAACAAAAATGTCAACCTCTTTGACCTCTTCTTCAGGTGAGCAGCGACCCTCAAGACCTCTTATAATTTTAATCTCCTCAGTATTTCGAAACATTCCTCAGCGATTTACCTTGGAAATGGATTATTTCCCCACAGAATGTAGAAATGTAAATTAATATTGGTCGGTTTCCACCATTGAGTTCGCAGCTGTGTCTTGCTGCGGCCAAGCCAAACAGCTGAGGAGCTACCGGGCCCAGGTGCACACCGGGGGGTTCCTGACACAACCTCCTCTCTGCTGCCTCCGGCCACGAGGTGCAGACAGAAACACTGTCTGGTTGTTACTGATACAATAACACAGGATGAATCACCAGGATTTTTATTTAACTCACACCACAAGTGCAAAAAAAAAGAAATCCAAGGGGTAATTAATTTCCTTGCAGCTATATATTTTAACACTCTTACCCCACTGCAAATTGTGGTACTGCTAAATAAATTAAAGCGGTAGCAGCTAACAAGCCAACACGGCTTTAGATGTCAGTGGCAGCAAGTCAGGCTGTGATGAGAGAAGTAAGAGTAGAGAGCGGTGTCTCTGAACAGCCTGTACTTTTCTTTCTGTGATGGGGGGCGATGTGTTGTCTTTACAATATTTTCCCTTTGGTAATCAGTCTGACAAGCTTTTAATAATGAAAACATGTCTTGTGATTTCATATATTTCATATACAAACATGTACTTTGTAGCTAACGCATAACAGGAAATGACTTCACACGGATAGGTAGGGGCTTTATTCATTTAATTTATTAAGATGCTACATAGTCCAACCAGGTTGGATTGTTTTTATACACCAGAGAGACTACTTGACTAGGAATATTAATCTTCTTCTCAGATAGACTTATTTATTTATTTATTTATTTATATACATACAAAACAGTTTCCCGACTGCTTACATTGATCACGGTGATGGTCAGAGACTCCAGAACAGGTCAGTGTAGTGTGTTTAACAACCCGGGCCTGGATCAATTAGTATTTACATGTAATTGTCATTGTTTTGTTTAATCCTACTTGGAGTACCACACTGGTGGGGTACACAGGGGTACGTTTTTCTCATAATCACAATAACAGTGTATTATCTTGTCTTGTGTAAAATGTTTGCATACTCCAAACAGAATTCACTGAACAAGAAGAATTTTCTGCAAGTACTACGTGACCCAGGTCTTGATAACCCAAGATGGGACTGTAAGTTCAAGCCTGCTCTGCCCTCCCTTCTAAGCAGCAAGTCATCCTCAACCAACAACTTTACAGAGATACAGCAGAAACACAAGCTTATGTTTATCTTAACCTCTTCCCCACCTGTCAGATCCATTGTCTTCCACTCCATCTAACATAAAAAGATGCGGGGGGGAGTTTTGTGATTTTTCGTTCAGTTTAGCAAAGGGGAATATGCTCTGTATGTGGATACAGTGGGATAGAAATATGACCGACTGCTCTTTTCTGTCAAATATTGCAAAATGACGCTCTCTACTGCTGTTTTTTTTTCTTCCTCATGCAAATTTGGAGATGAAACAGTTTGTAGTAGTTTTTTTTTGTTTATTTCTGACAAAAAAAGAACCATCATCTCTGGAACAGTACAATGTCATCATGTGGTCCCCGCAAGGCTAAACTGTATGTATTATTATGTATTTATTTACCCCCTCTGGCTAGAGAAAAAAAAAATGGTTGTTTGCTGCAGGAAGATCAAAGGAGAGACACTCTTAATCTTAGTGCATTTAAAATGAACACGACTTCAAATGCAGTGAGGATATAACATTAATAAGCAACGGATAAATGCTGAACAAACACCAAAAACTGAACACAGGCCTGCAGTGGAGTGGAAAAAAAAAACAGCAAATCACCAGCAGTGGAGAGCAAGCAGCTTAAAACACTCATTTGCCCCAAAACAACACAGAATGTCAACAAATGTATGGCTCAGTAGGAAAATATGAGAAAACAAAAAAGAGCTGGAAAAGACCAAGGTCCTTTTGTTAGGACACTGTAACAGGACCTTGGTGTTGATGTAAAGGAAACACGTAACTATTGCCTCTATATGCGCCTTCTGTCCACTTGTGGTTTCTCACTATATGTATGCATGCTTTCTGTGTATATATATATATATATATATATTAATGTACTGTATATATACCTCCATCTTGGCCTGAGAATAACTTGCCACAACAGGTCACAAGGCAAGACTTTCATCTGGAGAACATTTACAGAAATGATCTAATCCTACAAATCTGGAGCTCATTTCTGGTAGCTGCGATATTCCTAAATGCTTCAACCCTTCCAAACAAAAGAATTACTTAAAATCATAAAAATGCAACAAAACACAAAAGAGAAAAGAAATAAAATCAGAAAAATGTAGTTGTGCAAACCTACAGCCAAATAACATATTATTATCACCGTTATAAAAGCAATTAAATTAGATTCAAAAGTCCAGATGCAACACTCTGTGTGAACGCATGCAATCAAACATCCCCCTCTGACAACTGGGGACGCGGTGAGCACTGAGTGACAGGTGACGGGAGTAAGGTAGAGTGAAAAATAAAAAGGACACGAGGAACAAAAATACCTATGGTATAGTGTTTCATACACTGATCAAGGTTCCTCTACAATCAAAGACAAGCCGATTTTACAAAGCCTCTGACTGGAGGAGTCAGTTTGATAGCCCTGTGTGTGTAACCCCGACTGCGTGGATCATCTCTCTGGTAAATCCCTTCCTTAAAGGGGGTTTAGCTGGAAGGAACACCTGGGTATACTGTACAGTGGGGGGGATTACATATACATATACATAGGCTCTGGCCTCCGTCATTTAGAAAAAGAAACAACAATACACTAAAATGACATTCGCACAATTTCAAACTGACTCAATCGCACCAACACTAGCTCGCCGGTGTTAGAAAATCCATTGGTCTAAATCACTAGCATTAAATCATGTTTCCATTACCCCCCCACCCACAGAACCAGTCATCTGTATACATGAAACTTTGGGAAGAGGGCCAGATGATTATGTGATGATTACGTAGAGGCAAGACCTGTAACAGTAGGTTTGTTCATAAGATGGTGAATTGTTTTTTCTTATTTTTTTTCCCCTCATACAATACTTTTGAAATTTTTTACATAAATGAGACTGAATCAAAACTAGTACCACCCCCCACCCAGTGGATATGGCATTTCTGATCCAAAATCCCAGATCCCGTGTTTGTTTTCATCCCCCTGAAAGCATGCTGCGGCCGACCGAACTGCGCTGCCGTCTACAACACCAACTTGCCCACGATGACGCCCACCAGAAAGAAGAGCACGATGATGGCCACCGTGCGGGCGCTCAACCCCTCCTCTTTCTTTATGCCAACTGAGGAGTGCTGAGATGACATCATGTTACTCTTCCTCATCCGCAGACCGTCGTCCTCCTGGGATGGAGGGGGGAGAAAAAAAAAGAAAGCGTGTGAAAAGGTGTGAGGAGAGTGAAAGAAATAATTGAGAAATGATGAAAGAAAGAAAGTGCGTGGGAATAGGATGGGTGGTGGTGGTGGTGGTGGTGGCGGCGGGAGGAGTGTTATAATAAAGAAAGGGAATGTAGAACGTGGAAAAGAGACGGGTCAGGTTCGTCAATCAGTTCAATAAGATAAGACAGTATTTGTTCTACTAGCCTCAAAGAAATAATGATCTGGCTTAAATCTTCATCTGACCCTATCCCCCCGCGAGGACTGCAGGCAAGGGCGCCAGGCTGTCTACACACTTTCATTTCCCAGTCAGGGGGGTGGCGGGCGGGCTCTCTGTTAGTTGCTTAATCCTCAGGCCGCAGGAGCAGCCCAACAGTCGTTCTGCCTCTGGCGAGAACTTAAAAGGGAGGAGGTTGGATGGTGGTGTTTGAGGGAGGACAACTTTTCTCTAGCTGTCTGTGGTGCTGTGGTGTGTGTGTTGTGTGTGTGTGTGTGTGTGCTGTGTGTGTGTGTTGTGTTGTGTGTGTGTGTGTGTGTGTGTGTGTGTGTGTGTGAGACTTACTTCCAACCAAACCTTAACAAAACCCAGTTTTAAACCTCACTTCACTGATTTCATTGATCGTTGTGATTGATGTCACTGATTTGCAAAACTGCCTTTGAGCTTCAAACCCTGAGGTCTGCTACTGATTATGGACACGAGCAGTTAACCTCAATCTTGACTCTCAGTTCAAATAAAGAAAAGGGTGGAGGACGCCGCAACGTCATTTGCGTGAATCAGTTTCCACTTAATTTGCTTATCTTGATTGTGAATATCAATCAATACAAAACCAAACAAAAAGCCCCCAAAAGACAAGAAGGAGACTCTGGATGCTCAGTGATTTCATCTTCTAATTTTGATGATTGAGATGAGGGAAGGTTTTTCGTTGCTCATTCAGAGGAAAAAAACGTTTTCTCTGTCTTTGATTTAAGCCAGAAGGTAGATTGGTTGGACTGTAGCGTGTTAAAGAGTTAATGTACGTGAAACATATTAGAGGTGAAATGATTAGTGTTTCTCACACTTTTTACACCGCGTACCACCTCAGAAAATATTAGTACGACCTAGTACGACCATTATGATTCAACTATGTTTTATGAAATAAGCTATTAAGCAAAGGCCCTAGTTTTCAATGAGTGTGGCAACTGTTTAAATCGTTTAAATGAGATGTGTCAGGATCTGTCTGATTCAGCTCAGCAGAAATGAATCCAAACAGCAAGTTAAATTTAATTTGATTATCAGTTCACCAGGAAACGTTTTAGCCAACAGAGTCTGCATCCATTTGAAGATCGTTTAAAGTTTGTATTGAACAGTTGGACTACAGTCATACCTGTGTCTTTACTGTCTTGGGAAAAAAAAAAGAACTGACTGTGGTCCTTGAGTCATCTCACTCACCCGGATCTGTTTGTTTTCTTCCCGTAGCCTCTGAGCCTCCATCTGCAGCCTCTTACACTCCTCCATGATCTTCTTTACCTCGCCGTCGTCGAGGGTGGAGCTCATTGACTTTGGAGGCAGCGTGGAGGAATCTGACTTCAGCAAGCTGGACGACATCATCTTGTTGGACTCCATGTCATGCTGTAAGTAGGTTACAGGGTGACACGTTATAACGCAATAAATTGTCTGTTGCTGCTACAATGTTTCCATGGCGATTCTGACCGATGACTTGGCACACGGGGGCAATTTTATATTTGTATTTGGAGACTTGCAGGACAGCATGTATGCGCACACGCAGGCGTGCAGGAAGACAGAGCCTCTATCTCTAAGTTTGCGGGAGAGTTCACCCAGGGGTGCCTTTCATAAGTGGAACAAGCTGGTTTCCATCAGCATTATCTCTAACGGACTCTGTGGTGCACAGTGCTGACTGGGAGCCGTGTGTTTGTATCGCACAGCTCATAATGAATTGAAAACAACCACTACGGGTTCCTTTCCCTCCTCGTGGTCGTGAAGCGAGAAGACTCGGCCCATACCATGACGAGATAACGTCTCTACAGCTGTGTGGGGTCTGAGAAGAATCACAACAATAATATACTGCATGTGAGAATGAACAAAGTGGTCCTCTGAAGGGCAGCTGATGCCTGGGAGTGTGGCTGAGGCAGGGAGTGAGAGGTGGACGTGGAGGAAAAGAGGGACAAGATGGAGAAAGGGATGAAGAAGATTAATGCTAAAAATGTAGAGACGGCATAGAGAAGACAGAAAGAGTGTGAATGAGAAAGAAGCTGCGACAGTATTGGAGTGCAAACAAGAGGAGAGATGACGACTGAGAAAAAATAGATGATGTGTGATGCTGGACGACAACAATAAACATCATCTATAAATAATGCAGCCACTCCTTAACACAAATATTAACAAACACACATGTACTGCACAGAAAGAAGCAATAAAAAGGCATGCATCTGTTATGTTTGGAGCTGCGTGATAGATAATAAATGACATATCAAAAATTAAAAATACATTGTGGTGCCCTGCTGTGGCCTGTGATTTCAAAAATAATGGCAGGAAGCACAGAGACGTATCCCTCCCTGGAGTTTCTTTGATATCAAATCTGTAGTGACAACAAAAACTGACAGGGGAGGGGAGCAATGTGCATGTGCTTACCGATTTTTCGTTCTCCACTGGCATCTCAAAAACACACCTCAGCTTGGAGTCCATCAGCTCATCTGGCTTTGCCTCCTTCCACTGGAGGAACCAAAAATGAAGAAAAAAAGACTATCAACACATTTTTACTTTATTAACATTTGTGTATGTCTATTTCTAGGTTACATGTCCATACCATGTCAGATTGATTGGCTTCTAAGTTGGTATATGCAGAGGAACAAGTATGTTAAGAATAAAGACAACAGGAAGGATCGAGTATGTCAGAACAACAGCAACAAAGGGAGTCTAAGGAGATGGCTGGCTGCTGAAAAAGGCTCTTCAGGGGAGGACAGAAAGCTCAGATAAACCTTGTGCTGTCAGAGGGTCTGAGGCTGAGGCCACTCAGCAAAAACACCAGAGATGAGGGATAACAAGTCGTCCATGTTTTGTGCTTCACTCTTAATTAGTAAGATTAAGGTGTTTTTAGTGTTGTTTCTTTTATTCCAAGTAAAATCCTTTGAGTATTAGTTGATTTAGAGATTTAAATAATAGTTTTTCGCACTGTCTGGCTCCAATAAACACAACATTTTATTTATTATTACATTTTTCTCTCCAAGAGCACAAAGACGAAGGCATTTCTAACTGAACTTGTTATTTTTTATGTATTCTGCCAGAACCACACCAATTATTTTCTTAGTTGAAGAAAACCATTCATTTAGATTTTGGACTCACAAATATTGTAGGTTGAGTTTAACAAACACCTTTTAGATTTTTGGATTAAGCATTTCCTCTCTTCAGCACTGAAGTGTTTAAGACACTTTCACAGTTTAACATTTTACGTGTCTATCACAGTGTATTCTTATTAAACAAAGTTTTCTGTGCAATTAGAGACATTTAAAGGTAAATTGTAGATTCTGATTATTTTCAGAATGTATGTTCAGTAATATTTGTTTTCAATATATCATCAAAAGTGGGGAAATCATTTACATGTGCATAGTTTTGAAAGTCTCCTGTCGTTCCAATTGGGTGTCAGCAGCTCAATGTTTAGACATAATAAAACACTAAAGCTTTCAGTACCATGGTTGGAAACTATGAAAAAAGTAAAATATTTTCCAGTAGGTTACAAAATATTGTTGAAGAATTTTGAAACCGACAGGTCTGACGATGTACGTGTGAGTACCGTTCTCCCTTTGCAAACACTCATTCAGGCTGTGGCAGTATTAGTCGACTTGCATGTTTAACGTTTTCATCAACAGCTGGATGGTTATCAGAGAAATCTGCTCTGTCTATTGTTCCCTGACTCCACATCTCGTGTGAAACAACAATGGAGAGAGATTTAGCACCCGGAGGACTGCAGTCTATCTGTGCTGTGCTCTTACTACAACCCCACCTCAAAAATCTGCTTTCAAGTCAAACTTCTGTTACAGTCACAGGGTTGCACAATAACCCACCGGGATGCAGGCTCTACCTCAGTGCAGTGTCTCTTTTTGTAACCGTCACTCAGGTTGATTGTGTGTGTGTGTGTGT